TGCTCTTGAAATTTAAACTTGTATTTCTGTAGAAACTAGAGTTTGTAATGAAAATTAATCCCTGTCCTCCTCTATCCATCCAGATGTTTGCTCAACTGTTGTGGGAAAACTTCTTCACTTAAGCAGATGCTGTGAAAAATGACCTATGAAATGGATGTAATACATATACAGATTTTTTTTTTTTTTTTTTTGCAGTAAACTCAGTTTAGCATTTGTTATGAGAAAACTATGTAAAAAAAACCCCAACACAGCACTGTTTTTCATTTGAATATAAGGCCAAACAAGTAGATCTATACAAACCTGTATAGGAAAAACTTATGACACCATAAGAAGACTTCTAAGTGCCAAAGATCCTTTCTTCAGGTGTTTGCAGCTTGTATACAGAGGGTTGCACTGAGAAGCTGAATTACTGTAGTTTGCTCTGAGCACAGAGGGATCTCTCCTACAGTACATGGCAAATCCAATGGATCAGACAGAGGCTGTTTGAATCTTGCTGTTGAACTTAGTAGAACATTAAGGTGAGTAACTGGAATTGCATGCCATGCTTTGGGGCACAGGGAAGGAGAAAAAGGCTTTGCTGTTTTTTGGGTACTTAAGATCTGCCTGTGAAGTTGGATGTTTTGTGATTGGATGCAAAGGACATTGGTATGAGGTGTGGGTTGTACTAAAAAAGGCAGGTAAAATCTCTTGTCTAGTGATCACTGTTCATTCTAGGATCGTGCCTATTCTGTGATTGAATCCTGCTTCAACTTTACCATCAAGATAGCCACAGGATTACTGGACTGCTTGATATTATATGTGAATAAAATAATGAACCCCACAAATACCAGAAGGATTTAATCCTTTTCCTGGTTCTAGCTTTATTTCTGCAAGTAAAGGCACTTGAGCAAAAAGCACAACTGATCCCTCTGCCCAGAGTCTAGATCTTCTGCAAGTGGCTTCCCTCTCTACTAGGGCTTTCCCGTTGCTTGGAAATGGTGAATATAGGTAGGCAGATCCTGGTTCCTTGGAAAGTCCTCTCGAGTCTGTGCTTCTTACTTCTTTCTGTGAAACAGAGAGATGTGTTTTTCTGGCACTCAGTGCTGTTGCCTTCTGCAGCCTCTAGGCACTCAAAACTGGTGAAATAAAAACTTTCTGTAAAGATATCACCTAAGGATAGAATTTGGTTGTCTTGGAGCAGACTGAGGGAAAAAAGCCCTTTGTTGGTACCATAAACTCAGTATAGGCAGGATTATGGTAACTTTATGCTGCTGAAGTTCAGGTTTCTGCTAATCCTAGTTGATGTACAGTGTCAGAAATCTTTTGAAATCAGGGTGGGTAGCAGGAAGGGAAGCCTTCTTTGCAGACCAGCATGTTGAAAGTCAAGGCTGTTGTTACTGTGACGATGACAAGGAGATCCTCGATTGGTAGATGGAGGGCTGCTTTCCTTTAGCAGTTCTTAAAATGGTCCAGACCATGTGTCATTTCGTCTAGTCACAATTATGTGTCTTGTCGCTGCGAAACCAAAAGACTGACTTAGCTTTCACAATCGTTTCTGCAGAGGTGACTTAATTTCTGTTTTAAAAATAATTCATAAATACATAACCCTGGGGTTTGAGGTTTTTTGTTTGTTTGCTTTGTTTTGTTATTATACTGGTGTTTTTATTGACTATAACTTCTACTTAAAATTGCTTATACAGGGACCAGAGAGTGGTGGCTTGCAAGCTGTAAAGATTTGTTTCTTCATTATTGGAGTAGTACACGGTGCAAGATGTTACTCAGCTTTAAAACTATAAAGAATACTAGTGCTGTTCTCCCAGCACAGATTCTCCAAGTTAACAGCAGGACAGTTACACGAAGAGAAATTGCCATCTGTGCAGATGGTGAGCGTAGGCTGGGATGGTGTGTAATACTGAACACAGGTACTAAAGTGGAGATACTGGCTTGTTGATGTTGTGCAAGAGATGCAATGGAGATGGCTGTTCTTTTCAAAGCAGCGTTCCAAATGCTGGTTCATTCCATCCAAAGCTTAATAGAGAGATGTGGATGAGGGTTGCCTTGGATAGTCTGTTGCTACTGATTATCACAGGTCTGTGAAACGTCAGCATTTCAAAGTGACTTCATGGACTCTGTGTGCAGGATGAGTACTGCATCCCAATCTTAGTAATATCACTGGATTTTGGGAGGGCCGTTACCACTCCCACAGAGAGAAAACAGCTGAGTGGCCTGTGTAAACTTCAGTGTCAGCTTGCTGACAATTAGTGTTGATTTTCTTTCCCTTCTGTGCAACTCTCTGCATTCTGGGTAAAACCAAAAAGTTCTTATGCTTTAAAGTCAAAACCCGCAAAACCTAGAAATGCCAAGTCCAATAAATGATTCCACATGACACTAATGTATCTAGACAATAGAGCTAATTTTCTTCTTAGTAGCTAGAATAGCCCTGTGTTTTGGTTTCAGTGTGGGATTTGGTATGAGAAGGAAGTTGATAATACACTGATGGTTTTAGTTAATCAAGGACTTTCCAACTTCCCATGTTTTGCTAGTCTGCAGATGCAGAAGAAACTGGGGGGGCATAGTAAGATTAGCAGACCCAAACTGGCATTTGGATATGCTGATGGTGTATTCCATATCATATAATGTCATGTTTGTTGTACAAATGAGAGTTAGCTGGAAAGCATGTGTTTTCTTTCTCTCTCTCTCTCCCCCCCTCTCTCTCCTGGGACTGTGGTTTTGGTTTCAGGATTGTGTCTCCTCTGGGATCACTAGCAGGGGACCGGTCTGGGCATTGGTCGGTGGGTGGTGAGCAATTGCGCTGTGCATCACTCATTTGTATATTCCATTATTATTATTGTTATTATCATTATTTTATTTTATTTCAATTAGTAAATGGTTTTTATCTCAACCCACGAGTTTTCTCACTTTTACCCTTCGGATTCTCTCCCCCATCCCATCAGCAGAGGGTGAGTCAGCAGCTGTGTGGTGTTTGGATGCTGGCTAGGCTAAAACCACCACAGTTTCACACCTAGAGTTTTCCCAAGATTATAAATGAACACTCCTAGTCTTTGTGCGCAGTGTATTCCTTACTAATCAGAATCAAGAGTTCTCCAGAAGGGTAGTGGTGCCTTAGGAATCTTGTCAACATCCCTTCCCACGGGAGTTGGTGAGATCTGCATGCTGGTGAGTGGACAAGTTTATAAAATACCCTGGTTTAGCACTGGTGCTGCGTGGTTGTTGGGCACATTCTGTGGCTCCTGGCCTCAGTAAGGTGAGCTGGCTCTTTTCCAGTTAGTTAGTTCATCTGTCCTGCTCTGTGAATAAGATGCATGGTAGCAACAGGGTGCAAGGTGATCAGCATTTGAGTGAATCAGCAGGGTCTTGTGCAAAAGAATGAGATTGAGCTCATCAGCTTGAATTGTCATTAACTCCATTAACTAGGCTGTGAGGAACTCCTCATCTGAAGTGGCAAACTTGGAGAAAATGGCAGACTTCCAGCTTTAACACTTCCCATTCCCTTTATCACCAAGAACTGGAAACATTTTTCTCTTTGCTCAGAAAGATGTTATCTCAGACAAGTGTTTTTCCACAAATGCCTTTCATCCACTCCCATGACGCTGCCACCTGAGTTTGGGAAATTTTGCAACATCTTTATTGGTCACCTGCTCTTACCTTTGTCTGTACGCTGCTGAGTTTAGGACCTTTACAGCCCTAGTTTCTCAATCTCAAGTCCTTTGCTCCAAGAACAGGGCTTGCAGTGAGATAAGAAGTATTAGTTCACAGCCTGTTGCATCACTCATGGTCGGTGAGGAGGGTCAGTAGGCTGGTCAGGACACTGATGGGTCTGTGCTACCGTCACCGTTGCTGTGACCAGGAACAGGCTCGTTTCTAGCAATTTCCCTAATGCTGATTCCAGCAGAAATGCCCATTGCCCGTGGGCAGTAGGTATTTCACCCCCTCCCATGTACCTACCCCTAGAGACTAAAAATTGTTTGGTCTGTTGCTGTTTCTCTGGTCCTACCTCTGGAACAACATTCCTCCCGTTTGCTGGAGAGGGAGATGGCAGGAAAACCCAAGGGGGGTAGTTTTTCTGTGGTCTTGACGTGTTAGCAGCTGGACCTGGTAAAGGAGAACCAACAGTTGCTAGTCTTTCTTCCTCAGTAGGTTGCCTGTGTTTTGAGCTTTGTACATCCAGATACGGTCATGAATATGGCCGTGCCATGTGTCTGTACCTGCAGAATGAATACTTCTGACCATATATTCTGCATGTTACATATTTCAGCGGTGTGTGAAATATAAGTAACTTGAAATTAGAACAGCTACTGCGCACACAACCACTGTAGTGAGAGGGATCGTACTTTGTCTTCCAGGAAATTGGTACTAGAGTTTCAATAAAAATGTAAATGCTTCTGCATATTGAATTGTTATTATGATTGCCAGACTGCAGCTATAGGTTTGATAGGAAAGAAGGAGAAATAATTTATTTGCAGTACTTACCCGAACTTAGGATTTCATTTTTCCCCTTGTGGTTCTGGTGTTTACCTTGGCACCTTTCTGGTCAGGCAGAGGGAGGTAAAGTCACTGAAAGTAAAATGCAGTCTGCTTCTGTTTCCCACTTGGAAGGATATTGAGACAGTACAATTTTAAGTTGAACCAGACCTGCAGTAAGGACATTACAGCATGCTTTCTTCTGATCTCGAGTGGTGTTGGGAAATACTGGGTGTGACTTTGATGCATTTTCTAAGTGCAGGGACTAGTCATCTGCACATGGGTGGAGAGGCAAGAGGTTCTAGTTTCAGCCCAAACCAACTATTTTAAGATGTGGGTGGCTGGAGGTTGTTGTTTGCTTTTCTTATTGAGGTGGAGACTATATACACTTAAGATTTTAAAATGCTTTTTATATTTACTAGCAATATTATCAGTGCTTTACATTGCTTTTTCCCCATGTTTTCCCCATTTGTCTCCTTCTCCAGTTCAGTAATGGTAGGCTCCATATCTTACAAGTCATATGATGCCATGACACATGTATGTGTATATGTATATATACGAGATGCCTGGTGACTCTGCTCAGACTGCGCTGAACTTCCTTCTTCAGAGCCAACCATCATTTCAGAGAAGCTACCTGCCACTATGATCCCTGGGGGCTTAACTGAGGCCAAGCCTGCTACTCCACAAATCCAGCATATTGTTGATGAGGTGAGTTGCAACCTCTCTAAAGATGAAGTCTCTGTGCAAAGGGCTGAGTCCTGAAGTTTGTGCAAAGGCTGGGAGACCAGGTGGTGATAACTGAACCAGTGTTTGACAAAGCTAGTGCTGAAAACGGGAATGCTCTTGATTGCCAGTAAGTATTTTCTCAGCATGCTGCACAGGCAGTGTACTGGTCAGAGCGACACAAACCATTTATCTGTCTCATCCTTGTTCATAGCCAGGCATAGTACTGGCTACCTGCAGTTAATGTCTGCGTGTAGTTCGAAGACCAGCTTTTCTATGCTAGCACTGAGGTCACTTGTTTGAAATTCAAGGTGATGTATTTGAAGGGAGAAGATTGTACGCTGTGGAATTAATTCCTTGCTGAAGGACGTGAATAGGACAAACTATGTAGTAGTATGCACTAAAATAAGATATATGCAGGACAAGGCTAGGGGTAAACGGCATGTTCTCTGCTGGCATCTTTTTCTAGAGTCCCAGCTGTGATGCAGGGGCTGCTGTTGAGCCAGCAAGGCAAGGTGAGCTTGGCACACGGCAGGCAGGGTGAGTCCAGTTGCTGTGGTGGTTGGTTACAGGCAGCTGGAAGCAGCTGTGTAAACAACACCTGCAGATCCTCATAATGCCCTGCAGTGCAGCAGCTCTTAAGAGTATAAAGTGCATCCTGAGGAGTGGGAGGGGAACAAACTCCTTTTGTGTTCCCACCTACCCAATCCCTTTCACCCTCCCAGCCCTGAAAGATGAGCTCTTCCCCCTTTGACAACTGCACAAAGCATAAGTTACGTCCTCCTCGAGGAAACAAAGATAGGTAGTGGGGCTGAACATGTTGGGCAGTACTGCTGCACACTCCTGTGTGTGCAGGGCTCCCAGCTCCCTCCTGTGCTGTGGCACAGAGGACAGAGTTTGCACCAGCACCATTCCACGTCTCTTGCAAGCCTGCAGGCTGAGACCAGGCAGTGATGGAAGCAGACTAAGGTGAGCTGGGCTGTGCATGCGGAGGGGTAGAGCCACCACCAGAGAGCTGCAAATTAGCTTTGTAGGCTGGTGTCAGAGTCCAGTACTCTGACCAGGTGGTTCTAGATATTCCACACATAGAGGACAATGGTTAACATCAGATTTGCTTATTTGAAGATATGTGATGTTACATGAGCTTTCTGATTGAGCAGAGGGATACAAATAAACTGGTAACACAGAGGTAAGTTACTGTTAGCAACGTACAGTAATTGGAATGCACAGTTCAGTGACAGCACCACTGTGATCTCCATTGCTGGTCTCTAGAATATCCTCACTGTCACGACACTGGGCATCCTCAGTTGCTGGGAAGGAGTACGTGGGTTGAAGGCAGTTCAAGTCCACTGTTCTCCTTGAAATTCTTTTGTTCATTGTTTAGTTTATATACTCTTGTGTTGGGCAGAGCCACGTATTCACTCCCCTCATGCTGGTCCAGCTAACCCAGGGAGATGTTCACACCCAGGGAGGTGTTCACATTCTTTTAATGAACTCCAGGAGTTACACCACCAGCTGATCTGCTCAACTGTCATAGCTGTTTACCTAAAGCAAACACCCTCTTGTCCCCTTTGTGTTGAGATAAAGCCAGCTTCTGGCAGAAGCTGTGGTCAGTCATGCCCTGCATTATTTTCTGAGTTTCGTAGACCTCACCCTTGCCCAGCTCCTCTGAGCCTTCTTCCATCACAGGGCTTTAGTGGTCAGTCACTGGGGCTGTCAGAGTCGGGCATGTGTACATGGACAAGGGCTGGAGTACGTGATAACAGGTTAGTCACAGGGTAAATAACTTCCAGAACAGAAAGAGAAAAGGATTATCTAAGATTGTTTGGGGGATGCAGATTGAATTCCTCAGGAGCAGTATCACTGTTCCTCCTATGCTGGCACAAGCAGTTGAAGGAGCAGCACTTGCAGAGACCAGAAATTCCCTTTCACCTATGGAGGGGAAACCCTAGGCAAGGACTTGTGGCAACTTTGTGTATTTGGAATTCTTGTTTCCTCTTGTATAAACTGGGGAGGGCAATGCCTTCTGCCAGGCTGGGGCTGTGAAATTTGACTAACGAGTCTGTGAAAACCTTCAGGGCTCCTGTGAATGCTGCTAGGACAGTGTGGCATACCAGACACCAGGTAGGCTTTTAATGCTAGGCTGTGTTATGGGTGATCAAAAGATCCTACCCTACTGCAGCGTGTATCAGAGAAGAAACCACCATGCTTAACTGTCTGTGAGTGAACATGCATTTAAAAATGTGAACACTCATTTCAGGCTGTACTGATGCTCACAAAGTACAGGGCAAATAAGGAATCTGAAATGTGGGTGTACGGATTTTTCTGTTTGATTCCAGAATGGACTGATCTTAATTTTGGTGTTTGTCCATTCTCAGTAACTTCAGGAAAAATGAAAACAATTTATTCTTTGCTCTTTACTTTCTGCAAGTAGAAATTTGTGCCTTGTGCTGAGCATGGGAGGGAGAACGTTCCCTGGTCTTTCTTTTGAAGAAACTCACGCTCCACTGCAGAGGAATTGGTACAGTTCTCTGAGGAAGATATTCTTGTGGAGACAAACCTTACGTTGGCGCAGTCCTGCTCTGCTTCCAGCCACATAACGGTGTGACCCTTTAATGATGCAATTCTGTGGGATTTTATGCTCTGCTAAGCAGAGAAGCAATTCATATGACTTGAGCAAAGCTGTGTAGAGCATCTGCAGACTTTGGGTTGCCCAAGGTCTGTCTGCTCTCAGGATTACATAATTATTTACTTGTGCCTCATCCATAGGCTAATCCTTAGTGAGCTGGGGAATGTTATTTATTCAGTCTCCTTTTACAGCTGTTGTCTAAAACTGAGGAGTGTTTTGGGTTTAAGGAGCCATTAGGTAAGAGCTCAGTAATGTTATATTTTACCATCTGAGGATTCCAGGCGAGGGGGGCTCTCTTACCACTTTGTAAATTGAATTATTTTGGGGGTTCTGGGTTTATTTCATTAAGTGTGTGTGTTTGAAACGCTGAAAATTGGAGTGGTAGATGTGAAAGAAAAGTCTAAATATGAACCTGCCAACGATTTTTCCCTTTCTTTTTACAGGTGAAGCCACAATTTGAAGGCAGGGAAAACAGGACATGTGGCATGTTTAAAGCTGTAATATATAAGACTCAGGTGGTTGCTGGGACAAACTACTTCATTAAGGTTTGTATAGATTATAGGAGGGAGTGCTTTGTAGTTAAACAATATATGTTACTTGCATAGTGGCTTAGGGCAAGAAACAGAAGCAAGTGTAGTAGAAAACCATCTGGTGTGACTAAGAGAGTTGGGGACTACCTCCAGATTCCTCCGTTTGGCTCTGTTGTAGAACAGGACTATGAAAACTTGTAAAACGTGCGCTGTGCTGCTTCAGATGTGAACAGTAACTGTCTTAGGATCATCAGCTCACTCAAAGACTATAGGCTTTCATTTTGTGGACACAGTACTAAAGAGTAACGATTTACAGGAAGGCTGCAGTAAAGCCAGAAGTCAGGCCCAGCTGCATTTCTTCCCTTAGTGCCATCTTACTGCTGACCTAGGCAATGTAAAATGCTTCTCTGCTGTCCACACTAAGCCTCAAGACCAAACTACTCAGAAATGAAGATTGACATGGTACTGGACTTGGAAGAAATCTGTTTATAACACTGAAAATGGCAGATTTGTCTCTTCTCTGCCAGTCTTGCAAGTGACAGGGAACAGTTACTCATTTTAGCATTAACTGGAATGAGCTCTGTCACAAGATTCATTCTTTTATACTCCTGAATTTTCCACATCACTAATATTTTACCAACAGACTTACAGCTGAGATGCCATCCGGGCCCAGAGAAACACAGTGCCACATTACAGTCACCAGCAGGCATGTAAAGACCTCTCAGAGCCTAAAGGCATGAAACTTTCCCTTGATACTATACAGCTCACACAGCGAGAGTTCAGCACCCGTCCTGCTTGGCTCTGTACTACCAAATTACGTGCAACTTCGTAGCAAGTCTTGATGTGAGGACTTGCTGGTGGGGAAGGTGAATTTATGTTAAAAATTATTTCAGCCACTCACTCCCACAAGCGCCAAGATGTGTCAAGTTGTTCAGGCACTGATGTGTTTGCAGTGATGCTGCAGACGAGGGGTCCTGGCTTTCAGGTTGTCATTGCTTCTTAGGACCATGTGCTGGTTTTGGATGGATCTTTCTGTACCTCCTAAGAGCTGACACTGTCTCTGCATCTTGCCCCACCCCTGAGTCATTAAGATTTACTCATTGTCTCTTGTCACCTACCCCAAGTGTCCCAAGAAGCTGTGAGGCGATGTGCTGGTATCTTGATGACCAAAACAGAACGCCATCAAAACCCTTCCCCTGTTGTGCCTTCTGGTGCTTCCACACCAAGCAGTCCTACTCATTTTCCATTCATATGACTCTGAAGGCTTTTATTACAGTTCCCTACAGGTGTAGGCAGTTTCTGCCACCAGTTACTATCCAGACTTGGGCTAAGAGCTGTTGAAGTAAAAATGGAGATATAACTAAAATTAAGCTACTGAGCAAAGATGTTCTTTGAAGTCTGCAAGAGAATATTTTTGTTTTAACCTGGTTCACCCATGATCCTCACTTTACTGCTGTTTTGCTTTCTAGGTCCAAGTTTCTGATCTTGAATATGTCCACTTAAGGGTGTTTCAGAGCCTTCCTTATGAGAACCAAGGCCCTAGCCTTGTCAGTTATCAGACTGGCAAAACCAGAGATGATCCTCTGACCTACTTCTGAGAGACAATGAGGAATGGTGCCTCACTTCTGCAAGTTGCCTGTGGATTCTGCCTGTGTCAGTAAATTCAAGAAAATAAAATCAGTTTTGAAAGCTATTTGTGCATCATCTACTGTGTGTCATGTCTAGGTCTGCTGCCTGGCTAAAGCTCAAGTAGGCTCTGAGAATACTGTTCAAGGCTCTTTCTTCCACCTGAGGTACTAGAGCTGTAGGACAGAGCACACGCTTTCCAACACTGTCAAGTATCCTCTGAAGACAAAACTTGGGCCTCCTGAGTATAATTTAGGCTACATACTTCAGCCTATAGCTTCTTGGGTTTGGTCTAAGTGCATTAAATACAAGCTGTTTGCTCAAGTGTGTGTGGGAGAGAGAATTTCTAGCAGGGGAAGATCGAGAAGCCAAACTGTGTCCCCCTCTGCAAGTTCCCCCTCACTGTATGGGAACAGGGTGGGGGGGAACAGGAACAAGCTCTTTTGAAAGAGCCGAGACAGCTGAATGCCAGCATCCAGCCCCCGGAGCAGGGAGCAGCTGTCCTGACTTGGAGGCTGTGCTTTCCTGGAGACCTGTGCAGCTCATTTCTCTTTTTTCTTTTTTTTCTGTAGCATCACGCACCTGCAATGCGAACAGTCTTCAGCTGAGCTCTGAGGTGACAAAGGTAGAGGGCAAGCCCAGTCCATAACAAAAATACTTTCCTATTAGCAGCTGCTCAGGTAGGGGCCTTTGCATTACCTGCCAGGGAGCTGGGGCTCAGGGGCAAGACATTAAATGCATAAGTGAGTTTCAGAGCACACCGTGCTTGTATTCATGTCTGGTGCTGCAGTGAAGGGTGGGGATTGATTGTCACAGGCACAGAAAAATGCCGGAGCTGCCCATTGCTCTGCATGCCAGTATCCTGGATCAGATGCTTCAATTCCTCAAACTGTGAAGACCTGTGGCCTCCTGCGACTCTGGGAGTAGTCTTCTCTTGTGCAGCTAGTAGTTTCCACAAGAGCTCAATCCTGTAGTCTGTTACAAATCTTTAAGACACAACGTGTCTCACATTATCACTACTGCCTAACATCCTCTGACACAGCTGGAGATAACGCTCAGCTTTTTGAACTGTGAAAACACCAGAGTGGGGAGTTATCAGCACCAAAAAAGACCCAGTGTCTCCAACACCGTTTTATTCTAGCAAAACAAGAAGAGCCATAATAAGCCAGACTTGCTCTCTCCCTTTGTTCCATACTGGAGGGCAATGTGGGAACTCTTTGGGCTGATACAAGCAAAAGCATGTAAATCTTCCCTAGTTATCAGGAGACATAAGCAATGCTGGGTCCATACTGACACAGAACACACCTGCAACAAAAAAAAGCCCACTAACATGCATGTACATTCACCATGTGCTCCCCCTCAAAGCTGCTTGTCTTCTCAGGCTGTGGCCAAGGACATGCAGCAGGATCTAGAAGTCAGCTGTTTCCCATGAGTTCAGAGGGCAGCAACCCCTGTCCAACTCCCAGACTGATTGTACAAGGCAAACATGAACATTTCCAAGCCCAAACAAGAGTTTCTGGGCAGATATAAATAGTAAATAGTTACACAAGCACATAAATAAAGAAAGAACAGACTGGCTGTAGCTGGAAGGGTCTGCTGGTGATCATAGTGTCCAACTCCTCTGCTCAAAGCAAGGTCAACTAAAACAGGTGACTAGGGACCATGTGCAGTCAGAATTTTGTCACTCTGCATTGATGGAGCCTCCACAACCTCTCTGGGCAACTTGGTACCCTATTTGACCACCCTGGCAATTCTTAAAAGGCAAAAAACCCATTTTTTTTTTCCTCAGCTATTGACACAGAATTCACTTATTTCAAGTTGTGGCTATCACCTCTTGCCTTTTTACTGCACTGAGCACAACTGTTGCCTTTCATGTCCCTCACCAGATTAAAATGATGTCTTTTTAATTAAAATACAGAATAATTGTAAGCTTATCTGGAACACAAAAAACAGTCGTGGAAAAACCTCTGAGCAAGATAACAACCAATACTGAAAACTAGTAAATAGAACGGTGAAGCACTAAACAAATACGCCATCTCAATTCCAGAGAAATATTTATTGTTATTAATGCAGAAATGCTTGTCCAGTTAAAGTTCCTTTCCAGGACTTTTCCTTAGGACTGAGAAAATAAGCAAGTTGCTTTATTTTGTTTTGTTTTTTAACTCATCACACCCTCTACTGGACATTATATCCTACTGCTGCAAGAGGATAAACATGATACCAAGGGAATGCTTGTTTCAAGACACTGTAAAATCCTCCTCTTTCTCTTGCTTTCAAAATCACTTCAGTTCAAGTCTCTCTTCGGGTCTTTGCCAATAAAAGACATAGTACAATTTAAATCTACAGATACATTTACAGCTGCAAAACAGCACAGAAAGGATTCAGGTTTTCCTCTCTCGCTCCCTGCTGCAAATAGAGAGTGCTACTGTCACTCCCCTTTCAATTTCCAGACCAAGGAAGTCCACAAACGAGACTCAGCCACAGTATTCTGGTTAAGTGGCACTGAAGTCAGTGCAGCTACTTGGATTTGCATTAGTGCAGGTGAAAGGAGAGCTGTGTGACTCTAAAATTTAGGTACTGCACAGGAAGGGAATGGCATAAAAGCAATTGATTTTTTCCAGCATTAAGGTTTTTTTTTTTAAAAAGACACTTTCCTTTCTCCTTTGTTGGCACAGGAATCACCACTTTGCAGCCTATAGGAAATGCACATCAGAAATGGTTAGGAAAACGCACAAGCTGAGCTTGCTAGAAAAAAGTCAGTTCATCATGCTTAGTCTTGCTGCTCTGGTAACTGTGGAGACTCGGCGGCTTGTTCTCGTGAGGAAGGCTTCTGAACACCCGCAGGTGCATGAACTCGTCATTGCCCACATGGACCTGC